TCTACTATTTCACTATCGTGACCATTGTTACCGGCAGCTTTGGAGGCGTGCAACAAGTGTAGTCTGTCTACGAGTGTGTTGGAGCACGCCAATACTTATAGTCGGGCGCCTTCACGAAACGTAGACCTCTCCCTTTTTGTAATTGACGTTTCGGGTTTTGTCTTCTCGGAAACAATTGTGCGATAACAAAACGACACTTCCATCTATTCTTTGTCGTTTCGTATTGCGCACCGTGCTTGTAGTACATTATATGTGCTGACGTATCATTTAGAATTTGTTTATAATTTGCCATATCGTCTGGCGGAATGATGGTAATGTTGGGTTTCTTTTCAAAAAGCAACTCGAGAAGACCCGGCGTAGGATGATAGACCCGGTCTGCTGTAGTAAATGTACCGTCATCATTTATATCCATCTCGTTGTTACCAACATAAAGTGTATTGGCAATGAAATAAGGACCGTAAGCTGTATCACTTTTCTTCTCCCACGCAGCTAGCAATCTTTCTCTCCATAAGCTATCTCCTTCAGCTCCAAGTGGGATAGCTTCTTCGGCATCTTCTTCTTCTTTAATTGGCCCCCGCAGTTCCCTTTTTTGCGGAAGAGATTACGATGATGAATCAAAAATGTCTTGTCTAATACTTTTTTGGGGGAAAGATTTGGGAAAAGAAGTTGTGTTTACGCCGATATCGGCGTATTGATTGTTCGTGTGAGCAGCAGCAGCAGCACTGATACGAGTGGTAGGTTTATCTGATTGCATTGCATCATGAACGGGTCTTGTGACATACTCTTTGAGGAAACGTTCACGCTCTGTTGCGTGATGACAGAGGGCCTTTACTTTATGTGAGTTCGCGCTTTCTCAACTTCGGCCTTTAATCTTTCCTCCTGGGTATCTTTCCGAGGAGGAGGGGAAGAGCGATAAGCGCGGCGCTGCCTCAGAACACTAGCTGCTGTTACCGTCTGCTCGCCGTACTGTCTCGACTTCTCGCGGACACTGGTCTTGACTTTGATATTTGCATAAAGTGACTTTACATCCCTTAGACCTCTTCCGATTATTTTCTTCCGTCGCTTGACCCTCTTACTTTGTGTCGTGCTTTCACTTTCGCTAACAACATATTTCCTATGGCCCCCGCCTATTTTAGATTTTAGCTTCATCACTCCCGCCACACCGAGCGCTGCTGCCCGTTCCCCGAGGCTAGCATCTTAGGAAGTGACACGCTCCCACGCGCTCTTGGCGAGCATTTCGTCCGCCTTCTTGCGTTCTTCTCCACCCTTGTGCTCCTGATAGGCAATATCATGCGTCTTGGACGCCTGATCTAAGGGATTGATACCAATATCACCGCGCGCTAGCCGCTCTTGTAATCGGGTTCCGGGCCCACGAAACTGATACCCACCGGGAATATGAAGCTCGAACGGAAGGGCGTCGATAGCTCGATTGATCAAGCGCCCCACAGAAAAACCGCAACCCCTCCTTCCGTGACGGCGTTGGTGAAACCGCGTCGCTGCAGTATAACGACGCTCGACCATTGCGCGAGTGAAGCGGTCGAAGAAAAAGGTGTTGATTATATAATGTTGTGTTTGTTTTTTACTCCTGCACAATGAGAAATTTATCGAATCCCAAGCGATACCTTCCTTTGTTCACAGGCAAAAGGAATGGCATGAAGGCAAAAGGATGATCGTTCCATGTATCGGAGCACACCTTTTTAAAATCCGTTAAAGATTTAAAATTATTTCCAACATGTTCCCTGTAGATTTACTCCAAGTTATTGTCGTCTTGACGGAAAATCACGATCATATTCGCATTGTCCCGAATAAGTTGTTTTGGGATTTTAGTATATGTTTGACACAAGTACAGTACATCCGCATGCTTATGACGACCGGCTGCAAAGTATGCTTTAATATTGTCTTGCTTTTCAGTTGCAATGTCGTCAAAAATAAAAGCACTGTTGGGGTGTGTCTCGGCGGGTGGGACCGTACTGTCGTGTTGCGAGAAGGCGTGAAAGGGACAAATGTTATGCAAGACTTGTTTCAAAAACACGTACATGGGCTGCGCTTCAGTGGTTGGATACAGGTAGACATTTTCAAATTTAAGACCGTTGGCTGTAGTGAGCAGTGGAATCACAACATTCGTTTTCCCACATCCAGACGCTCCCACGATAAGTGCGCGAACACTATCTGGAAGAAGGGCGCCGTGTCGACTGTTGGTACTACTATCATCTCTTCCTCCTTTTAACAATTCCACCACGTTCACGACGGGTAACTTGATGGGATGTTGAATAACATTCATCACGTCTGCAACTGTTTCACACATGGAAAAGAACCATCATTTTATTGAAAAAGAAAGAAAAGAAAAACCTTTGGAAAAGTGGGTGGGTGTTCAAAATAAACAATAATATATTGATAAAATGAATTTATTGATTAATGTTTAGAAGGTATACATTGCATCTGACATGTACTTTTCAGTACCACTATTATTTTTAATATCATTGCACAAAGTAACAACAGCCTTCGCCTAACCATTCCGCAGCGTTTCTGCCACACTGTGTAACGTTCACAGCACATCCCCCAGCTTCCGCAGCCGGAGATGCATCCCCGGTGAGATGCTGCTGCAGTCGTCCTCTTAGACATTGTTTGTCCGTAGGGTTTGCGTTTGAGACTACTTCTTCTTCTTCTTTTAGGTTTCGTTTTACAATGTAAATCACATTGTGTCGTACATTCCGACCCCTTTTGCTTATTCTTTCTTCTTTTGCGTCTGGTCTTTTCCCCCTCTTCTTCTTCTGCGTCCTCATCACTACTCCAATGAAAAACACTCGAGGGGGCTGTTGTTCTACCCCATCCATGTCACTACCATCAGGACTAGAAGAAGGGGGAGGAGTAGAAGCTGGCGACGGTGGCGGCGGCGGCGGCGGCTCCTGTAGCTGTTGCTCTCCTACTTCGCTCATTGTTCTCTCTCTTTCTGGTGTGGTTGACGCGTAAAGAGGAACTGACGATTGATGCGATTCGAGACTGTTTTATACATGAGTTACGATATCTGTTAACGGTTGGTACGCAAACTCCTGTTGATGTAAAATGAGACAATAGGCCGAGGTATTCTTAGGAATGACGTGATCGGGTAAAGTTTCCATCACGATTTTGGTAACAGTGGAACTGATTGTCGGTTCCGGCATCTCCGTCAAATCGAAACAAAGTATTTCACAACCACTAGAGTCCATTGGCCGTGATGGTTGATATGGGATCTCGGTTACAAAATCTTTTCTCAAAATTTGATAGCATGTCATAAACTTCAGGTCGTAATGCATTGTCGTCGCCGTAGCGTAAACGAAGCTCACTATAAGGGAAAAACGTTTCATTCAGGTAGTTTGACCGAACGCAAATGTTCCAAAGAGAACCAAGACGTGTCTTTGTGCATTCGGTTCCGCGCATCATGTTGCATTGTAAAAAGAAACTGTGGTTGATGCATTCCGCTCGTTGCTTTGACCGTCCATTCGTAATTCCCCGCGATTTCCGGTACATTGGGAAGCTCATTAAGTCTCCATCTGGTGAATTTGATGGGTAATCGTCTTCCGCTATCTAACGTCTTTGAGATGTATAGAGACGCCTGATCGCTGAGA